CGTGCATGTGTGCTCCAATAACCTTCCGTACCGTCATCAGCCATGATCTTTCTGTCCCTTTGCTCTTCCTTTAACTCATAGTCATAACTGGATGAAGAAGTTCAAGTGAACCTGATGCTGCAGACGTTTGACCGAGTCTCTCTGTGTTTCTGTTCGTTCAGTCGAACAGAAGCGGCAGACGTCACACACATCAGCGTTCACTTGCACACGAGACCAAAGACCCGAGCCCTCATGTCACTAACGAACGCCTCACGATTAACGATTACAGCGTGTGACCGACATATTTCATTTAACGCCAGTGAGAACGAGGCTGCGAGGGATGGACAGAGTCACTGTTGCACTGCACACTTAATGGACATCACAGACAAAAGCAAAGCGGAGCTCGTTGACATTCAGTTATCAGTGACGATAATGATCGTTAAGAAGCTCAAATGTCCAGGAGATATTTATTGACATAGTTGTGTAGTGTGAACAGAACAGTGATCTGATCAAGTCAAGTCACCTTTATTTATAAAGCGCTTTTTACAATACAGATTGTGTCAAAGCAAGTTTACAGTATTAAATAGGAAAATAGTGTGTCAATAATGCAAAAGGACAATAGTAAACACTCAATTTTCAGTTAAAGGTAGTTCATCATAGAATTTAGTCATCATCCAGCTCAGTTCAGTTTAAATAGTATCTGTGCAATCAAGTTGACGATATCGCTGGATATTAAGTGTCCCCAACTAAGCAAGCCAGAGGAACCAAAACTCCATCGGTGACAGAATGGAGAAAAAACCTTGTGAGAAACCAGGCTCAGTCGGGGGCCAGTTCTCCTCTGACCAGACGAACCAGCAGTTCAGTTCCAGGCTGCAGCAAAGTCAGATTGTGCAGAGGACTCATGACTTTAACTCTTTCCCTGCCAAACGTTAATCATTTTCACACAACTTTCATGGCCCCCAGAATATTTTGAATAAATATCTGAACATGCAATATTTAGTCATTTATATATAGCAGACAATAAGTCAAAAGAAAGAACAGAGCCTCTGCTTTTAAACAAAAAAAACATTCTTTTTTATCAACACTTGAATGTGAGTAAGTTTCATTAAACGAAACAAAACAAAAAACATTTTGAACAAAAAGCTGAGAAAATAGAATTTTTGTCAAAGACTATATCTGGATCAGATTTATATCGATGATCAAAACATAGATGAAGTCATCAACATTAGGTAGATTTGATTTATATAATGATTTATATTTGATCGTGATTGCTTGTTTGTGCTGCTTCTTCGCAGTGTTTTGATCCAGAGATTCAGTACTCGATCAGAAGATGTGTAATAGCGCCTCCTACTGTATAACAGTGAAAACACGGAAAGCCGGAGAATCCCGTCAATGACAGGGAAAGAGTTAAAAGCTGTGTAGGTTCTCTCGAAGTTATGAACAAATGTTCTGTTAGTAATACTAATAGAACATTTGTTCAAAGTTATCTGATCTTTAATAACATTCTCAAAACTTTTGCACTGGAATTTGATTTATTCATTATTCATGGGAAGTTATTTTCAAAAATGTTTTAGTTGAGTGGTCATCTAACTTGTTTTTTTTTTTTAATGTTACTTGTTTCAGAATGTTCAGAGAACATTTAACAGTAGCATTTCCGTAATGTTTGCAAAATGATAAAATGAAATATTTCCTTTTAGCATTTGCATTACCAAGAAAAAAGTAGTTGAAACATTTTTTAAACACTGGATATTTTGAACATTTAAAAAGCATTAAGAAATAACTTTTTCATAACTCATTGGGAATGTTAGCATAATGTTTTTAGACCATATTTTTGTTAGCTGGCATTGAACATGTCTAATAGCATCTGGATCTGTGCTACTGAACAGAATGACACACTAACATACTCCAAATGTGCAGTGGACAGCAGAGAACACTGCATCCCACAATGCATTGTGATGAATCTCTGTTTGGACTCATTATTTGATCAGACTCTCAACAAATTGAATTAGAAATGCAAAATGAGTGTTTTTATTTACTAAATGATGAGGGGATCTGACAGCAGTGTAGCAGTGTGTGTTTATGATGGACTGATGCTGTACAGTGTTTACAGTTCTGCAGCCTCCATTACAGTCCAGATTCTGTGCAAACTCCTTTCCATTGACACTTTTCATCTTACAATTCAGAATTAGTTTTTCTTGCAATTGCAAGTTTATCTCACAGTTAGCACTTTGTTTCTGAGAATTGCACGTTTACATCTCTTAATTCAGACTATTTTGCCCAAATTGTTAGTTTATATCTCAAAATTCAGATGTTTTTCTCACTATTGTGTTTTTGTAAAAATTCCAACTTTTCCCCCAAAATGTTTAGTTTATGTCTCAAAGCTTGGACTTGTTTTCTTGGAATTGTTAGTTTATATCTCAAAGCTTGGACTTGTTGTCTAAAAATTGTTAGATAATATCTTGAAATTCTGACTTTTTTCTCACAATTGTAAGTTTTTTTTTTTTTTTATGTCTCAAAGCTTGGACTTGTTGTCTAAAAATTGTTAGTTTATATCTCAAAATTCTGACTTTTTTCTCACAATTGTGAGTTTTTGTCAAAATTCCGAGTTTTCCCCCCAAATTGTTAGTTTATGTCTCAAAGCTTGGACTTGTTTTCTTGGAATTGTTAGTTTATATCTCAAAATTCTGACTTTTTTCCTCACAATTGTTAGTTTTTGTCAAAATTCCGACTTTTTCTCCTCAAATTGTTAGTTTATATCTCAAAGCTTGGACTTGTTGTCTAAAAATTGTTAGATAATATCTTGAAATTCTGACTTTTTTCTCACAATTGTGAGGTTTTTTTTTTTCTTTTTTTTCTCAAAATTCAGATTTTTTCCCCCCAAATTGTTAGTTTATGTCTCAAAGCTTGGACTTGTTTTCTTGGAATTGTTAGTTTATATCTCGAAATGTAGATGTTTTTCAAGTTTATATCTCACATTTTTCCTTTTTTTCTTGGAATCTCACAATTCTGTTTTTTGTTTTGTTTTTTCCACCATGAAAATAAAATTAGATTTTTTTTGAATGGGAAAAATGTGAAAAAAAAAAGTTAATTGTGAATTTTTATCTCACAACTCTGACTATTTCCCCCGGTAATTGCAAGTTTATACTTCCCATTTTTGCCCAATTCTACTTGAATTTTTCCACTGAATTCAGAGTTTACATCTCGCAATTCTATTTTTTGTTTCCACCATGAAATGGTGGATTGTGATTTTCAGAATTCAGACTTTGTTTCTCTCAGATTAGCGAGTTGAGTCACACTTGTTTTATTCTGCGGCGGCCTCGAGCTTCCACAGGGTTTCATCTGTAGCTCGGTTCGGTTCTGATAAGCTGTCGGTCTGGAGGGAGTTTCAGACAGAATCAGACGAGCTCTTTCAGAGAACGTGTCCTGCAGTAATCCTCTACAGTAAAGTACAGTAAAGAACATTCGGCGCTCCGAACGTTTGATGAAGTGCCCTTTAAGCGCCCTGCTGATATGAAGCCATTCAGACCGTCATTCCTTCATTTCTGTTGAGTTCCATCACTCGAGACATATGAAATCAGGAATATGAACATTTAAATGTCTTCGGATCCTTCTCTAAAGCTTATTTCACAAGCCATACTATGGTGCATTATACACAGTGTTTATTCAGATTTAGCACGCATACGACAGCGATTCATTCTGATTTTCTTGTTGATTTAGATAATTACTCTGTGTCACAAGAAGCTCATAAATAAACCATATCTAAATATTCACTTTGGAGTTTCTCTCTGTGTGACTGAGTACACAAAGGCTTGTGTGTTGATTCTTCAGTGAGAATGAATCAAATGAATCGAGTGAGTACTTTGCCTCATGTGTGAATGGTGTGTTATGTAACTGTTTGCAGGCAGTTTTACAGTAATGATGGTGAACTGGTTACACTGCATGTTTCATTCTAGCTCGCATGTTTACTGTCTCTGCAGGAACCAGATAACCTGCAGGGAGCGTTCTCAGAATGTTCTGCCAAGGTTCTCTCAAGTTATGAAGAAATGTTCTTCCAGTAGCATTAATAGAGCGTTCGTTCAGTGTTATCTGCTCTTCAGTAACGTTCTACAAACATGAGCACAAAAACAGTATTTATACATAATGTTCATATAATGTTTTTTCATGTAACATTTTCGTTTGAAATGTTTTTACCTGTTTCAGAGAACATTCAAAAGTAACATTCTTACGTTTGCAAAATGATACAACCCTCAATGTTCACATAGCCTAACTAAGAAAAAACATTTTTTAAACTTTTTTTTGAACAATGGCTGTTTAAATGTTCAGAGAACATTCAGAAATCAAAAAACTTAATGTGAATGTTAACAAAAGGTTCTTATAATGTGTTTTTATTATCTGTGCACGTCTAATAATCATAATGATCATTAATCATACTTAAACTAATGCTGGCGTCTAAACAGGTATTTGTTCTCAACTGAAATAGTGACTTGAGTAGAGTTTTAATATTGCACTGAGACTCAGATGAGATCTCTCCTCAACGCTATTTATCATTGAAGAATATTATTTTGTATTTATTATTTAATACGGCAGCAGCAGGAGTGTCAAACTTTTTTTTATTTTTTTTATTTGCGGACTAAAAGGTACAAACCTAACAAATTTAAGGGATTTGTTCAAGTATGTGGGTTTGATTTAGGCATTGATGGGGACATAACAGCAGACAGCAAACATTTAATTGTTTGATCAGAATTATTGCTGGAGCAGTTCATTAGTGTCTGATATTGGTAGGATCATGTCACAGCGTCTCTACTCAATTTTCTCATTTATAGTCCCGATCTCAAATGATGGTTTAGTGTGCACGAGCGCGCCTTCATCCGCGTGCACGAGCACGCCCACCTCTCAGCGCGTGCACGAGCGCGCCTTCATCCGCGTGCACGAGCACGCCCGCCTCTCAGTGTTAAAGATGCTGCCGCTGGGTTCAGACGCGGGTCCGATGCTCGGGTGAGAGTTTATGCTCAGTTCCTCTGTGCTTTCTTGTTTTAGAGTCTTGTGTTCTGTGTTCACACACACTCTTGTGTTCTGATAGCTGTCCTGTGGTGTGGAGACCCTGGGATCTTTCAGCAGGAGAGACGCAATTAAATAAAGTAACTTGCTTTACTTCAACTCTGATCTCAGAGTCGGAAAGCGCAGAAATGAACCCGTGTTCTTGTGCTCTTCAGGTGGTTTCTGGAGGTTTGAGTCGGGTCCAGACTTCTGAAGATGTTTTCCATCATCCTGTGAGGTCTGCTGCTCTTCCTCTTCCTCTTCATTCAGAAGACAAGTACACTTCGATGTTTATTAGATGTTTTTAGACACTTACCTAGTGAACAAAAATATGTTAGGAACGTTAAGTTTTCTCTCTAAACGTTCAAAATGCGTAGTCTTTTAATGTTTTAAAAGCGTTCTTATTGTTATGTGAACGTTCAGGGAACATTCCATTTGATCACATGTGACCCTGGAGCACAAAACCAGTCATGAGGGTCCATTTTCTGAAATTGAGATTTATGCATCATCTGAGAGCTGAATAAATAAGCTTTCCATTGATGTATGGTTTGTTAGGATCGGACAATATTTGGCTGAGATACAACTATTTGAAAATCTGGAATCTGAGGGTGCAAAAAAATCTAAATATTGAGAAAATCATCTTTAAAGTTGTCCAAATGAAGTTCTTAGCAATGCATATTACTAATCAAACATTAAGTTTTGATATATTTACGGTAGGAAACTTACAAAATATCTTCATGGAACATGATCTTTACTTTTACAAAGGGGACAATTTTGTGAAAATGTTCTCACACATACAGATTTGATTTCTTTCTCAAATTGCAGTGACTGTTCTAAAATATAAGAGAGCAATTTTTCAGGAGTTTAGGACACATGCTTATTCAATAACTGTTTTATTTCCTATTTGGGTTTATGTATATGCTTTATTGTTTAAGATTAACAGCTTTCCCCCCCAATGCTTTGTTAGATGACAGTGTTTACTGTATGTGAAGATTTGGTTTCAAAACCAGTAGCATAGCTATTAAACAGTTTCTGTTATGATTTTAAATCTGTATTTAACCTCCGAACGATCTCAAAGTGAAAAGAGGTGCTAAAGTCTGATTTTGTGCTGCCTGTGCTTTAAAATTAAATGATTATAATCTTAAATCAAGTGAAGAAGGATTCTTCTTCATCCAACTAGAATCTTTCAGAAATAAAATGCTCGTTGAACAATGTATAAATGCTAATGTTTTGAGAACATTAATAAAGACCAGATAACTGAATGAATGTTCTGTTAATGTTGCTGGTAAAACTTTGGGAGAACATCCGCCCGAGTTCTGAGCAGGTTCTGTGTTAGCTGGGGATCATAGCCTTGACTGTTTGTGACGGGTCGCATCCATCCGCAGGCTGTTTCTGCCCAGATCCAGGACGCTGGAGTATCTGTCTCATCTGGGCCGGACGGTTTTGGCCAGTTTCCCCGTTCAGGCCACACTGCACTTTTACAACGATGAAGACTCCAGCTCTGAGGAGGATGAAGCAGACACTCATTAACCTCATCAGAGCCACACGTCTATAACATGAACTCACTAGTGAGCTGAGAGCGAAGCAGAACACTGTTTAGGAAGCGCTGCGGATCCACAGGAACGAGACGAGCAGAAATACTGCACCACCAAACACCTCTGATCTGAGGAAGAGCCTTCGTCTGGGAACGGCCTTAAAGAGACAGTTCACCCAAAACTGACGTTTACTCTTCCTCAGGATGTTCCAGACATGTATGAGCTTCTTCTGTTGAACATACAAGATATTCCGAAGAATGTCTGTAGCCAAACAGGTGATGGTACCCATTGACTTCCATTGTATTGTCTTACTATGGGAAGTCAATGGGGACCAACGGCTGTTTGGTTATCGATGTGCTTCAAAATATCTTTTTTATGTATAAGAAACCCATGCAAGTTTAGAACAACTTGAACGTGAGTGAATGATGATGATTTCAATGTTTGGGTGAACTGTCCCTTTAAGTGTTTCATTTGTATGTTGTTGAAAATCTAAACGCAAATAAAAACAAGATTGCTCAACATGCGTTTGCATCCTCCATTTATTAATAATTATAACGGCATACAGTATAAACTTTAAAACAGGCTGGATGATTGATAGCAACAGTGTTTGAATAATGCATAGAAACACTCCAATAATAGACTGTAGAAGTCAGGTGCTGCCATAAATGTTTAAGTTGAATCAAATTGGCTGTACAACCTAAATTATATTAAACTGAGTTAAAAAACAACAACTTAAATGTGAATTTTTTTTATTTTGATAAAAATATATGTTGTCATGACTTATCATATAATTGTTTTTGCAGTATAATGAAAGTCATTGTATTCTAATACATTAAACATGAGAAAACAGCAGTGTGTTTTTCTCGGGTCGCGGGGTCACAGGTCACCCGACACCCGCCTGTTTGCTCACGAGGGTCTGCAGGAGGAGACGAGCAGGAACACAACCCACCGCAGATAGTGAGCTGACCGTTTCACTTCAGTCTGAGGTCACAGAGGTCACGGTCTGACCCCAGACACCACACAACACACCAGGAGTTTGGTGTTTGAGAAAGATGCAAAAGCTCAGTGTCTAGAGCTTTACTAAAGTGCTTCGGTCGCACGAGTTCCCCAGGGCTGTGTTTCCCAAAAGCATCGCAAGCCTAAGCTGATCATAGCTTCAATGGTCTACGATGTACTTAAGCTTACGATGCTTTTGGGAAAACAGCCCAGGTCTGTCCGAGGGTCACGGGTCACCTGACGGTCAGAGCTCAGGCCTGTCACGCGGCTGATGGATCTGATCGTCTAAACCCTGAGCAAACGCCTCGCATCACTGCGCGCCAGCATCCAGGTAGAAGACGCGGTTTATTTCGCTGATGGGAACGTCTCGGAGTCTGGGAATCACTCCTTCCTGATCCTCGCCCGCACGCTGACTCTTGGCGTAGTGATCTATACCACACATAATGAACGAGAAATCATTTGATTTGACAATGCAAGACGTTTGAAATCACTTGAAATGTTAGTAAAAGCAAGCGAGAGCAGAAGTGTCATTATAAGCCTGTCACCTGTGATGTTGTGGACGGATGCGAGCGGAGCCGTGTTCATCAGGTTCACCCCGAACAGCAGCACTACACAGGTGCTTAAGGTGACCAGTAGGTGGATGGGTGCCGCCAGAGCCCAGTATCTGAAACACAGGTGTGCGGGACATCAGCCTCGCCTCATCAACACAGCAACACAGGACATATATCAGATGCACTCACTTCTGAGGCCAGTAAGTCAGTCCGGTGGAGTGAAGCCAAGCGTCAGGAACCACAGCCCAGACCACATACAGAACTGATGACAGCAATAACACACTTTAACACAATACAGCCACAAACAACGCTTTATTAAATCAAGGATTCAAAACTTTCACATCTTTTAGCCAGAAATTAATATATACATATTTTATGTGTACTGTATATATGTGTGTGTGTATATATACATATAAACAGTGTTGAGGAGTAACTAGTTACATGTGACGGAGTTACATCATTTAATTACAAAATAAATGTAATTGTAATTCGTTACAGTTACTGAGAAATAATGTGTAATTAAATTAGTTACTTCTGCAAGTCTGGCAGTAATCAGTGTTGAGTTCTACTGTAATATTAACCCTGTCTGCTTTACATGTTTCAAAATTATTAACAGTTGAAAACATTCATTAGAAATTTAGAAAAGCAATCAAAAATGTAAATGTTACATCAAATCAGTTACATTACTTTAATAAGAGTAACTGAAATAGTTACACTTCTTATTACATTTCAAATAGGGTAACTTGTAATCTGTAACCTGATACATTTACAAAGTAACCCTCCCAACACTGTATATATGTGACAGTTAAATAGTTAATTCCATTTCAGAGTAATGGAGATGTTTGAGTTTGATCAGCAGATGATGGAGAGACGTACAGAACCCGAGCTGCGAGCCCAGAAACAGCACGAAGCCGTAGATCGCTCTCTCTGGCAGAGGAGACGGAGAGTTCTCCACCATCATCAGCACTCAGCTCGACCAACCTGACAGAACTCAATCAATCAGATTAGAAATAACTCCGAAATGTCTCTTCTCTGCTGCGTTTCCTTGTTCTTCTGCGCAGGCACACCGCGTAATGCTGAATGCTGCCCCCGCGCGGCCTGGAGACACACACACACACACACACACACACTCTCTCTCTGTCTCACACACACTCACTCACACACACATAACACACACATACACACACACTCTCTCTCTCTGTCTCACACACACTCACTCACTCACACACTCACGCACATTCTCACACACTCTCACACACACACACTCTCTCTCTGTCTCACACACACTCACTCACTCACACACTCACGCACATTCTCACACACTCTCACACACACACACTCTCTCTCTGTCTCACACACACTCACTCACTCACACACTCACGCACATTCTCACACACTCTCACACACACACACTCTCTCTCTGTCTCACACACACTCACTCACTCACACACTCACGCACATTCTCACACACTCTCACACACACACACTCTCTCTCTGTCTCACACACACTCACTCACTCACACACTCACGCACATTCTCACACACTCTCACACACACACACTCTCTCTCTGTCTCACACACACTCACTCACTCACACACTCACGCACATTCTCACACACTCTCACACACACACACTCTCTCTCTGTCTCACACACACTCACTCACTCACACACACACACACGTTTACTTAGCTATCTAAATGGGGACATTACATAGACTTCTATTATTTTAATGTCAGAAGAAATCAGAAGAGCTTTATTGCCAAGTATGTTTACACACTTGGAAGGAATTTGAGCTGACGACAGGAGCTTCCACAGCTGAAGAAAGTACAGACCTACTGCAGACATACAACACAGAAGAGATGGAATATAGCCTAACACTAATATAAGAAAAACTGAAAATTTAATAACTTAATATAATACAGGAGTAGAAATATAGAGAAAAAACATATAATTGTTCTTCTTGTTTTTTTTTTTTACAGTCATTAGGACATTTTTCAAAACTGTTCACACAGTTCTAACCAAATGTCATCTTGGAACAGCAGTTCATTTCACATTCAAACTGCACTTAAACTACCAAAACACTTCATTAATGTCTCATTAACTCATTCTGCCATAACACCAGCAAAGCTTTCACCAAACAAACACACTTTGTCACTCAACACAACCTGAAGACACTAACAAGAGAGCATTGTGACAGCCAGCAGAGGGCACTTTGTGTTCCCATCAGCCCTTTCTCTAGATTGCTCCATCACCTTCAGCTGTGTGTCTTTAGCTTGCTAGCTCATCCTGATATATACCCTGCTCTCTGTGTTCTGTTGCTGGATTCTTGTCTTCTGTTCTCTGTTTTTGTGGATTACCTTTGGCATGTTTTTCTGCTTGTGTTACAATGTGAATTACTGTTTTTGGACTCTTTAATAAAAGCTGCAATGGGATCTTCTTGTTTGAGAGCATTTCGTGACAAGCATTATACATTGTTTGCTTAAGTAATTTTTCTTTACAGAACAAGAATGTCTACTGACGATGGCGCCGACGGTGATGGCTGCCTCCGTGGCGTGCTCCGCAGTTGTTTTTATGTTTTTGTTAGTTTGTCCTGTCTTTAGTTATATCCCTGCAATCAGTTTCACCAGAGACGAATTGCTGGACATTAACACTCATACTCAGTCTACACCTAAAATTTGCACATAATATACCTGTACATACAAAAGTGTCTTGTAATATACCTGGACATACAATTGTCGATTTATATATTTTTATTCCTTATTTACTTGTTCTATTTTTTTATTTTTTATTATCTGTGTTTTTTGTTCTGTCACTGTCATTCTGTTACACTGTGGAAGCTTCTGTCACGAAAACAAATTCCTCGTATGTGTAAACATACCTGGCAATAAAGCTCATTCTGATTCTGATTCTGAAGAATGACACGATTTATTGCTTGTAGTTCACTGCATTGAGTGATTAATATGGTAATGAAAGTGAAAAACTAACGCTTGTGTAGGTTTTCAACTATATTAAATTGCTTTGTATTTGTTTTTTTACAGTAATTCAGAATATTTCAATATGGTATTGCTGTAAAAATGCAGCAAATTTCTGTCTTATTCATTTTTGTGTTATGTTAGGTTTTGAACTTAGGCTTAACAGTTTTGTAAAGAGTGTAAACAGGTGCAAACTGGCTTGTAGGTGCATAGAGTTTTGCCGTTGTTTTTGTCTTAGTGAGAAAAGAATTTGTCATTTGAATGATGTAGTTATTGAATGCACTTTATTCCAACAAAGGTGTTTAGGGCCTCTCATCTACATGACCAGTTTACATTTAAAGCATTTACCTTATTCTTCATCTTCATCAACATTAGAAAATAATGTAGAATATTGACTGAAACCTCTAGCTGGGAAAAAGTACTTCATATCTGGATGTTTTGGGAAAGCTGCTGATTAGACCTTGGGTTTGAACAACTCAGCCTTGAAGAAGCTGCATATTCTCTCTCTATGTGTGTGTGTGAGTGTGTGTGTGTGTGTGTGTGTGTGTGTGTCTTCAGTGAGATGTATCACTGCACCCAAGACTGAAGGAACGTGAATAGCTCTATGAGTTTGATTTCTATCGTTGGAGGGACACTTCTCATGCAAACCCAGATCACGCTGTCATCTAAATAATCATTGAAGGTATGCCTTTGACCTATACGTACATGTGAGGAGATTTTATATGTTTATCTATATTTCAATTCAGTATTCTTTAAACATGAAGTAATGATGTAGTTAGTGACCTTTGTTAGAGTATAACTTACTTCAGTAACGGGAAGTTAGCCTACAGCTCATCTGCAGGGTTTCAATGCTACTTACACATACAATATAAATATATATGAATTTATATATTTACAGTAACTGACAGTATATTCCAATGTGTGTTTACTGTATATTCAGTTGTTTGGTCTTTGAACTTTTCTCTTGTAGTGCTTTTCATCTACTGTAAGATCTCTTTACAGTAGTGCAGTGAAAGTAAACTTTCCTTACAGTTTATTGCTGAATGTTACTGTATCTGCACCGCTCTATTTATGTCGTATACTGTAACAGACATTGACTAGCAAAAGGATTCCTGTTTCCCAAAAGCAGGTTTTTGTAACAGTGTTTTGAACTGATCTCTCTAGTGTTCTCTAGGCAGTGAAGTAGTGTGTGTATTATTCTAAACCATTCTGGCTTCAGATATCAGCTTCCCTATTTCTTGCGTTCCACCAGCTCTGTAGTATTCTATCAGTAAGGTTCTGGTATTTCTGTCATTAAGGAGTTAGATGATGTCTTAAACTGTATATGCATGATGGGTAAATACCATATCAACAAAGATAGATACATTAAATTTAAACCCAGCTACAAAATATTAGCTTCTGATCTACATTTATTATCGCCATCGCTTCAAGAAATCTCCAATCAAAAAGCTCTGAAGACATCTCGTTTTATAGAACGGTTTTTAAAGTAATTTGTATTTTTTTCTTTTGTCAGTTTTTCTCTCTCCTATGTATTCCCACAGATGTTCTATGTTCTGTATAGAATTATATTTCTGCAAAAAAACAAACAAAAAAACAAATCGAACGCTATACTCGGCGGGAACACCAGAGGGCGGGAACGCTTTTCCCGCCTGCTCGCGCTGCAGTTCATGCGCGAGAGAAACCAACGGCTCACACGACACCAGTAACGATCAAGCAGCGCTTTGCCCCCCAAAAAAATCAAAACAGGTAATAAACACAGTTAATCACATTCACAACACCGCGGGATGTCTCACGGTAAGAACCGACCTCAGGTGTTTGCGCGACAGCTACGTTTCAGGCAAACATCTGCAACGCTAATTATTTGAGGTAAGTTAAACAACTGCGGCACAGACGCGTCGCGTTTAACTTCCCAATGAAGTTCGTCTGGTTGACCATTAAACGTGTTAGTTCTCGTGTAGGTTACAAGCAGGTGTTGTGCTTTATTAAAGTAAAAGCGAGGCCCGACTGTTAACGATATTCGGTTTCGTGTTTCAGACGCTTTTCACGACAAACATTCAAATCAAACGAGCTGAGGGGAAAACTCTGTCAGACGCGCTCAGGTGGAGGAGCCGGTCTCTGAGTCACATAAACCATTCATATATCACATATAATCGAGCCGCAGCATTAGCGTGTGTTGCTGTTTCATACTGTGCTGATTTGTTGTAAGAGTGCGTCTGGATGACAGTGTTGCCAGGTGTTCACAACAAAACCCGCACAATTGCTACTCAAAAACTAGCCCAATCGCGTTTCGATGGGGTTCCCCGATAAAAATCATGTTTTTGGCGAGGTTCCCGTGGTGAAATACGCATTTTATTGGCTAAATATCACGTTATTGGGGTCGCTCAAAGTAGCACAAATCCGCGTGAAAACCGCGGACATGGCAACACTGGTCTGGAAGCAGGCGGGGCTCAGATGAGGTGCTTTGTGGGAAACGTAACTGAAGAAGTGTAATCTGGTCCAGTGAGTTTGAAGCTTGCATGCTGTGTTTTTGTGTTTCATAAGGATGTCAGACTCGGAAGACTCGGATCTGGAGGAACAAGCAGACGTGGTGCGACACCGAACCAAAATCGTGAGTAGAATTGAGACGAAGACATCAGTCTGTGCTGAACACACTTGTGATTCACTGTTTCTCACTCAGATCTATCAGAGCCAGTTCCCGTACATTCACATGGAGCCGCCCGGTGAGTGCTTGCACACTCTTTATCATTAGTGATCATCGCTGCAGAGGTTTCAGTGTTGCTGTGTTTTACAGACGTCATATATGAGCGCTGGACCAAGATAAAGCCCGAGGTGAAGAAGCACGTGGGTCATCTGATGCATGTGTCTGTGTTTTGGTGGCATATCCTCCTGAGACAGCAGGACAATCACCCCACCACCTTCTGGGCCGTGGAGATGGGCTTTCTGGACTCAAAGTGAGTTGCTTTCAGGAAAGAGTCACATCTGATGTGACCGTGAGGATCTGAGAAGTTTCTTTACAGGCGCTGGGCAAAATGCAAGTGTCTTGCATCTTTTGCGTCTCTCTGATGAAACACAGGGCTCAAATTTCAGAATTCTTCAGGCAGGCATTCTTCAGATTTTTGTTGTCCAAAATGAATTTAACTGGCCTGAATAAAAAAGATATCGGCTGAACTTAACTGTGGACAAATCGGCATGATTGTAGACAACTGTGATTGTGTTTTTCCTTCAAATAACAAATCATGAGAGTAGATGTGTGATGGATCACAAAATTCACGGTTTGGATCATATTACAGATTTTGAGTTACAGATCAGATCAAGTTTTGTTTTTTATTTAAAGAACTGTTCTTCGATACCACAGCAAAAACAAGTAGCATAACTAGTAAAGGTCAAACATTATCAAAGACAAGTGAACATTCAGTAATAAAATATGAACAAATAAACAAATTGCATGCAAAGCTTAGGTAAATAAACTAGAACAAAGTTACAAATAACATGAGGTCTACAAATAACATAGATTGATTCCTATTAAAGCAACTGTATTCAAGTGTTTCAGTCAAGAGTAGTGAGTGATTTGTCTCTTTGTGTTTTAGTGTTTTATTAACGTTAAAGGAATAAATAGTTCACCCAAAAATAAAAATTGTCATATGTCTGTCAATTTTGCCATAATCTTTTATTTTGATACCATAATATACTCACTCAAAAGTTGTTTTAAACCTGAATGGGTTTCTTTCTTCTGCTGAACATAAATGCTATTTTGAAGAACGTGGAAAATAGTATTTCATAGTGGACCAGCAACTTTCTTCAAAATATAATCTCTTGTGTTCAGCACAAGAAAATTAATACAGGTTTGGGACAACATGTGAGTGGGTAAATAATGACAAATTAAATTTTAGGGTGAGCTATCCCTTTAATGACAGTCGGCAGCATGTTTAGTACTGTCCCTTTAAGACCAGCACGCTTCTAATATACAGACACGCATCCGTTTTTCTCTTTCATTTTAGACATAACCAATTGAGTCTATATGTGAGCCTTGTTTGTTTTGACAGTATTAGCGCTAAAGATAACTTCGTCCAGTGATCAGGCGCTGTTTGACAGGCTGTTTAGTGCGCGCTTCGGGTGTTACATGCTCAAAAATAGCACACGTCAGAACAGCACGTGAATGAAAACTTTAAAGCGCATGCAAATAATGTAGTGCAAGTAATGCAGCGTACCGTGAGAGTAACTCTATCGCTGAGTTAACATTAGATGTGAATGTGTTGTACAGTATATTGATACATTGATTCCAAATCAGATCGTGGAGACATTTTTATCGTCAAACCGCACACCCCTAATTCAAATGAATCAATAACCTCTAAAAAATCGCCCAGCCCTAATAATTGTTTTTCATTGTCTGTCTTTCAGCGTGTCGAATGATTTGAGTCTGAAGAGGCTTGAGAAGATTGAGATTCTGGAAAGCATTCTGGATGCCATGGAGAGAGGCGTACGTATCTGTCCTGATGAACGGTCACTGATCCTTCACCGCTTCTTCAGTGTCATGAAACCCCTCTGTTTCAGCACTGGTCTTTCACACCTTAGATCTGAAAAAGACTCCAGAAATGGTCGTGTAAAACTGTGGAAAAGTGGGAGCGAAGAGGGGAGAAAACAACCAATAAAACACAGACCTACAACTAGTCCTGGGCGGTTTACCGGTTCATACCGAATACCGGTGTTTATTTTTGTTATGATATGAATTTTTAAAATACCGCAATACCGGTGTATGTACCGTGAAACCGGTATAATTTTGAAAAATACTGTGATATAAATTTTTGGTCATACCGCCAAGCACTAGTATGCGTCACGAAAAAATCGTCATCGGAGAGTGTGCGCGGAGGCTCTGCGCGGGCATCCGCGTGCCTCCCATTTTTTGTGACCGCGCGTACTTGTCCGTAGGTACTAGTCAGTAGGCTACTGCGCATGCGCAGGCTGTGTGAAGAAGCCCGTTGCTACTCGAACCTGTACAATCCGTCGATAAAACAATATAAACACAGCCAGATGTGCAATAACTGTGGGCAATTGTTTCTTCACATGTTTGTTTACTGTTCAAGCCGATCTACTGCGCATGTATGGAACACGTCCGCGGAGCGGACCATCAGCGTA